ATGGCAACAAAATAAATTGGAATTGAAGTTAAATGTATTGCCCCAGTTTCTTTTCATCAAAGTGAATTTCAGAGCCATTCCAGCCTTGAGCATTTAGTCATTTCCCGGTCATTTGCATGATTCATGGACATGAAATCAGATAGTGAACACATGTTCTGTCATGTTCTTGGCAAAATGGAATGCTTTTAAAACACAGTGTTTAATAACCAAGTTACAGATATTTTTGGTGAAGTTCATACAGTGCAGCTACCAAATTTTTTGTGTTATCAATCTTGTAACTGACATGAATGATCGGCTTTATCAAATGCTTCTTTGCGATGAAAATGTGGAGGTTCAAGACTGAGCATTCAAGCACGCTTTGTCGCGAAGAAACGGAAAACAAACTGCTATCCAAACTTGATGTGTCTTCTTTACCGAGGTGATACCTCGTCCAAACGTTTCCGCAGCAGGACAAATACTGTCCTCAGGTTTACCCAGGTAAAGACAAGGTCAAGTGTGGGAATAACGCGTCAATGACGCATGGAGGACCCGCGGTGAGAACATGGGAAATGGGTAAATACTTTCAGGTGGTTACTGTAATTAAGAACCTTTTTCCAAGAAATAGATTAAAGTAAATTATTCATGGGACATTCTTTGTTTGTAAAAGGTCATGATATAGCAATTTATTGTTATTTTCTTTTTGTTTCCTCATGTGACAGTCCATTGCCTGATTAAGGAACAATGTTGCTTATTTTCACTGAAGCATTGTCTACACCTACATGTATGGTTGAACTGCTTGAGGATCACGGTAAGCAATCATTAAAGGATTACATTTTGCCTGTTACAGTACAAGTTGAATGCCACTTTTTTGAATCCTCAAGGGAAATGAAAAATAGTTTGAAATAACATTGGTTTGAAATAACTGGGTCATTGTTAAATAAGATAATAATATTATTGTTGATAATTAATACCTTACAAGGAGGAAGGTGTTACAATGTATGCTTTAAATTCAGCCTTTATTTGAAAATATTAAACTTATCTTCACTGAGATTTATTTAACATTAACAATTGCACTATGTACTACGTACTACTCCATTTATTTCTTTGAGCAACTTGGGCTGAGGTTAACTGTCATGCTTCAGATAGATGATATAGTGCACTTTTATTAGTCAAACAAATAAATTAACCAAGGGTAGGAAGAGAACACTTACACACATATAAATTTTAAGTTCCCCAGGGATATTTTGACAGGTCTTGACATGGTCTGATGTTCTCTTTCAACTTGAACAATGGAGTTCGAAATATACGGGGTTAATTTAGGTCAAGGGAAGAAAACTTAGTTCAAAATAGTAGGGGGTTTGAAATAACAAGTTTCGAAATAGCCGATAGTGAATAACTGAAAAAACAAGCTTAGGACAATTAAGGTCAAGGGAAATAGGTTTCAGTTCGAAATAACCTAGTTTGAATTAGCGGGGTCCAACTATATTTATTTTGATGGATGGCCATTATTTCAGCAGAAATGTCCACAATAATTCAGTCCAAAAAAGTGTCTGGAAATACGAATGTATAACGGTCCAAAATATTTACCACATAGTAGTGTAGAACTTTTAACCCATTGATGCCTGTGCTGGCCGTAACCAGCAATGACAAGTGTTGGGCTTTGTTCCACATCTGATATCATCACCTTTGACCAAATTAGGCATCACTTCTACTCAAGGTCTGCAGGAGGAGAAGATCTTTCCAATGATACCGAGATCAGAGTGATTAGGTCAATTGAGCCTGAAATCTGCGCATAAATGCTCAGAAATTTGAGTAGAAAACTCTGTGGCAAGAATTACCTGTATTGATGATGTTTTCTCGGGAATTCTTGAATTGGAGGCAAGCCCAGTAGAAGGTCAACCACTGCAGCAAAAAGATAAGAAAAGGATAAAAAGGAAACTAAGGCAAAAATAATTAAAATTGAAAAGCCTAAGCAAAAATGTCATAAAACGTGATCCTAGTGGAAAGAAAGGCATGCTGTCATGTTTCAAATCCCTGTTTGAGTACATTGGGGCTAATTTGGCTCATATCCAGGCTGAAAATGTCCAAAAAATGTGTTGTTTTGCCCAAAAGCTCCAGGTATCAATGGTTTAACTTAAGTAGCTCCAAAGCTCTTAGTTTCCTTTAGGAGCAAATTCCAACTAGGTGAGACATTGCTTGAGATATGTGCATGTAATGGCTTGATAGAATTTGTGCTATTTTCTTGTTTGTGTATCTGTAAAACCTCGAGGCTGCAGTAAAACAAGTGTTTTGTATGCATAAATTTACTTTAACTATGTTTCAGCAGAAGTGTCTGAACTTTTTGTCTCCAATTTATTTGTCCGAAATGAGATAAAAGGTGTCAGAAAATTGAACTTCTTGAACAAAAATAATGTCTGAAAATTTTTTGCAAGTAATGTAGTCATGATTTTCAATGTTAGAAATAAAGTATTTGAGTGTATAGTGCATGCAGCTGTAACAATATTTCCAATGCAGCTTGTTGAAACAATCAAGACATACAGCTGTAGTTTATTTCTTTGGAAGATTTTTTGGAAACCTGTGCGTATCACATGTATCCAATTTGACAATATCAGCTTTTCTTGTTCTGCTACTGCCTTGTTAAAAAATGCGAATTACATACTAGTACGTTTGATTTCATGAAAAGTGTGCAGCTCAGAAATCAAAGTAGCCAGTTTTTAGCTGATGGATGACATTTAATAAGAATCCTACATGCAGAATTAGGATTATATTAATGATGTCTGGAACTGGAAATATCTAGTATTCTTTTTCTGGAGAAATGCTTAAAACTGATCAAAAAAAGAAGTGAGACCTTCATAGGCATAGCAACCTACTTAGGCATAGCAGCTGAATTAGTTCAGCTACACTCACTGGTTCTGATGAATTGGAATATTTGCTACCAACATTACTAAAATTCTATGCCTTTGGAATTCCCAAAATAAAAAGCCATCATATTGTAGCAATCATTCCTATATGTAGATAGGGGATTTGCCAGGGCTCAGCCTAAATTGTTTTTTTCAAGTAACAACTCTACTTTTGAACATCTTAGAGAAGATTGAGATGTATTATGTCACATTATGAAACCTTGAACTTCCTCTCATCACTTCCATTCCTTCCCTGTCAAGCTCAGCAGGAGGGAAATCGCCCATTCTGTAGGTTCAAACGTTTGCATACATGAGTGCTAATGACAGTAGAAATTATGTGCAATACAATTCAATTGAATCTCCTTAAATTGAGTTACCTTAATAAGTGTATTTGATAGACAAGTAGAATTGTTCTTGAAAGTTACAGTAGTAAGTCATTTTGGTGATGTCATGCCTGTGGCAAAAAGCTACCTTTGAATTCTACCCCCCCCCCACCCCCCCAAAGATAATTACGTTAGGCAAACCACAGTTGTGCTCAGCATAACTGTTCAGTCTGCTTTCAAGAAGACCCAACACCCGCAGTGGCTCTGGAGGGTATTCTGTTGTGAATCACTTGCTATATTTCACCAAGTTCAAGTTGAATTCAGGCAAAACTATTAACTAAAGAAAATGATAAAATATTATATTTTATAATATTTCTAGGCAGGCCGGAATCCTAAATCCTTGAATTTGATTGGCTAATCATATGCATGTGACCGGTCCAGCTTTTTACGATATGGCCCACGGGCCGGATTTTTTTCCCTGCTGGCTAAATTTCACCCCTAAAAGTTAGCAGTAATCGTCAATCTTTTGCCTTTTTTACACATCCGTTGACGATTAGTCGACACAAGTTTATCTGTGTTCACTTTAAAATGGCAAGGAAAGTCACTGTAAGTAAATTTAATTGAGTGTTTTGAAGTTGTGAGAGTTTACTCTATAATTGTTTGTACCTTGGCACTGTAATGGCGTGTAATCCTGTGTTTCTCTCACCATAAAATTTGAGTCAATTTCAGTCGAGTCTACCTCTCTGATCGTTGCTGTATTTAGAAGAATTTATGTGGAATACACTTAACGAAATTCCTCGCTTTCTGCTATTCAATTTACAGTAGAAAAGTGACAAAGTGATTTTAAAAGCAGCGACTGACAGAAATTGTTTTTGTAGTAAAACTTCAAACTTCACACGAAATTTCACACCGCAAAAACAACTTTGAAGAACTTAACTGGTGAAATGAATGCAACTAACACAAAGTAGTTTTAAAAAATCTGTTTTTTAATACATCTTTCTTTGTCTACTATCTGAGTTACTCGCTCGTTGCCAAGATCTTTTTCAAATCGTTAGTAGACGGCGCGCAAGCCAATTCAATGACAAGAGTTGCGTAAACAAACCCATTTGTAACCTGTAAAACCGGTTTACTGCAGGAAAACAAAATAAACATGTTATTTGCCGGTTTACGGTCAGTCTGTATGGTGAAAAACTGTGACCTGGGGCTTGAAAATGCTGCCCTTGGCCTGCGGCCTCGGGCAGCATTTTCAAGACCTCAGTCACAGATTTTCACCATACGGACTCCCAGCCAGCAAATAACATATATGAATTATTGGCCTCATATGCTGTAAATAGTTGCTTTCTACAGTGTAAGAAAAATGTCTCAATTTTGGTTATCCATTTGTTTGATTTGTTTCTTCACTGGCGTGTCTCACTGTGAGGTGTAACCGAAGCCATTTATTTCCATTTGTTTTGTGTGCTTTTGCATAAAGTTTTCAAGTGTGTTGAGTATAAACACACCTATTCGTAACTTGGCAATTAAACTACATGACTTGTACAAAGTGCGAAGGAAAAAACAGCCATTGAATGGTTAATTAGAGTTGTTAAGTGAAAACACTTGAATTTTTTTCATGTGAGAACTGTATTTTCTCAAGTTAGGTGTTGTAACAATTTTGTGAACCTTGTTTAAAATATTTTTGTTGAATTCTACCAAGCGCTTTCTCTCTTTTGCATGTACAATAGCATGAAGTAAGAAATGCATGATAGTATTTTCATAACAGAAATTGAAAGATTCATGTTTGAAAGGGAGTATAATCAGAATTGTAATTAAATATTAAATATTAAGGTATGTGAATCATTACACCATTATTACTGAACCACAACCAACTTTCATTATTGATTGCCCATGTCACGGGTTACCATCCTAACTTCCATTCCAATATCACTGAAATACAGCTTGTGGAAGTGAATCAATTGGAGCACATCTGACTTAATAAATTATTGACAAAAATCTTGAAAGCTAAAATATTTTACCCTGTAAATTTAACTGTAAATGTATTTAATTTGTGGCTTTTTGTGGTGTTAAGCCAGGTTGTTTGGTTGCCATAAATTCTTGGTTCAGTTACGAGATCTTGGAAAAATACTTCTGTTTACACCTACTGTACTGTAGATCTTCGTAGGTTAGCTGACTTTTGACACTAACAGAGTTATGCAACATGCAAAAGTTACAACATGTAGATAACAAAGTGATAGGATTGGTGATATTGCTCTCACAATGTAATAATCTGTTCAGGTAACATGCAAGTTTGAACTGTTTGGTTAAGGCTAGTAAAATGCAGGTTCTGAAAAAAAAGAGCAAGTGAAGTATCCATTTGACATGAATTGCAGCTGGATCATACATTCTAACCAATTTGCCAGTTACATGTTTTATTCGCCCTAAGAAAATATGCGTGCTGATTGGTTAAAAATTGTGTTTCTATTAAACGATTAGATTATGAGCTCGAGATTTCTGTCGCACGATAGAAATTGAGAGCAAATAATCTAATTGTTTTAGTATAAATCTAGTAGTCATTCAAATTGGAATCCTCTTCACAGACACTTCAAAAA